AACGCTAACTGAGGCTTGACACCAGTGTCACTCGCTACAATACCACTAACTGGGGCCTGACACCAGTGTCACTCGCTACAATACCGCTAACTGGGACCTGACACCAGTGTCACTCGCTACAATACCGCTAACTGGGACCTGACACCAGTGTCACTCGCTACAATACCGCTAACTCGGGCCTGACACCAGTTTCACTCGCTACAATACTGCTAACTGAGGCCTGACACCAGCTACAATACTGCTAACTGAGGCTTGACACCAGTGTCACTCGCTACAATACCACTAACTGGGGCCTGACACCAGTGTCACTCGCTACAATACCGTTAACTGAGCCCTGGTACCAGTGTCACTCGCTACAATACCGCTTACTGGGACCTGACACCAGTGTCACTCGCTACAATACCGCTAACTGGGGCCTGACACCAGTTTCACTCACTACAATACTGCTAACTGGGGCCTGACACCAGCTACAATAACGCTAACTGAGGCTTGACACCAGTGTCACTCGCTACAATACCACTAACTGGGGCCTGACACCAGTGTCACTCACTACAATACCGCTAACTGAGCCCTGGTACCAGTGTCACTCGCTACAATACCGCTAACGGGGGCCTGACACCAGTGTCACTCACTACAATACCGCTAACTGAGTCCTGACACCAGTGTCTCTCGCTACAATACCGCTAACTGAGCCCTGGTACCAGTATCACTCACTACAATACCGTTAACTGGGGCCTGACACCATCGTCACTCGCTACAATACCGCTAACTGAGCCCTGGTACCAGTATCACTCACTACAATATCGCTAACTGGGGCCTGACACTAGTGTCACTCACTACAATACCGCTAACTGAGACCTGGCACAAGTGAGTCTCGCTACAATACCGCTGAGGCCTGACACTCGCTAGAATACTGCTAACTGAGGCCTGGCACAAGTGTATCTCGCTACAATACCGCTAACTGAGGCCTGACACCAGTGTCACTCACTACAATACCGCCAACTGAGGCCTGACACCAGTATCACTCCCTACAATACTGCTAACTGAGGCCTGACACCAGTGTCACTCACTACAATACCGCTAACTGAGGCCTGACACCAGTGTCACTCGCTACAATACCATTAAACTGAGGCCTGACACCAGTATCACTCGCTACAATACCGCTAACCGAGGCCTGACACCAGCTACAATACTGCTAACTGAGGCTTGACACCAGTGTCACTCCCTACAATACCACTAACTGGGGCCTGACACCAGTGTCACTCGCTACAATACCGCTAACTGGGACCTGACACCAGTGTCACTCCTCGCTACAATACCGCTAACTGGGGCCTGACACCAGTTTCACTCACTACAATACTGCTAACTGAGGCCTGACACCAGCTACAATACTGCTAACTGAGGCTTGACACCAGTGTCACTCGCTACAATACCACTAACTGGGGCCTGACACCAGTGTCACTCGCTACAATACCGTTAACTGAGCCCTGGTACCAGTGTCACTCGCTACAATACCGCTTACTGGGACCTGACACCAGTGTCACTCGCTACAATACCGCTAACTGGGGCCTGACACCAGTTTCACTCACTACAATACTGCTAACTGGGGCCTGACACCAGCTACAATAACGCTAACTGAGGCTTGACACCAGTGTCACTCGCTACAATACCACTAACTGGGGCCTGACACCAGTGTCACTCACTACAATACCGCTAACTGAGCCCTGGTACCAGTGTCACTCGCTACAATACCGCTAACGGGGGCCTGACACCAGTGTCACTCACTACAATACCGCTAACTGAGTCCTGACACCAGTGTCTCTCGCTACAATACCGCTAACTGAGCCCTGGTACCAGTATCACTCACTACAATACCGTTAACTGGGGCCTGACACCATCGTCACTCGCTACAATACCGCTAACTGAGCCCTGGTACCAGTATCACTCACTACAATATCGCTAACTGGGGCCTGACACTAGTGTCACTCACTACAATACCGCTAACTGAGACCTGGCACAAGTGAGTCTCGCTACAATACCGCTGAGGCCTGACACTCGCTAGAATACTGCTAACTGAGGCCTGGCACAAGTGTATCTCGCTACAATACCGCTAACTGAGGCCTGACAACAGTGTCACTCACTACAATACCGCCAACTGAGGCCTGACACCAGTATCACTCCCTACAATACTGCTAACTGAGGCCTGACACCAGTGTCACTCACTACAATACCGCTAACTGAGGCCTGACACCAGTGTCACTCGCTACAATACCATTAAACTGAGGCCTGACACCAGTATCACTCGCTACAATACCGCTAACCGAGGCCTGACACCAGCTACAATACTGCTAACTGAGGCTTGACACCAGTGTCACTCCCTACAATACCACTAACTGGGGCCTGACACCAGTGTCACTCGCTACAATACCGCTAACTGGGACCTGACACCAGTGTCACTCGCTACAATACCGCTAACTGGGGCCTGACACCAGTTTCACTCACTACAATACTGCTAACTGAGGCCTGACACCAGCTACAATACTGCTAACTGAGGCTTGACACCAGTGTCACTCGCTACAATACCACTAACTGGGGCCTGACACCAGTGTCACTCGCTACAATACCGTTAACTGAGCCCTGGTACCAGTGTCACTCGCTACAATACCGCTTACTGGGACCTGACACCAGTGTCACTCGCTACAATACCGCTAACTGGGGCCTGACACCAGTTTCACTCACTACAATACTGCTAACTGGGGCCTGACACCAGCTACAATAACGCTAACTGAGGCTTGACACCAGTGTCACTCGCTACAATACCACTAACTGGGGCCTGACACCAGTGTCACTCACTACAATACCGCTAACTGAGCCCTGGTACCAGTGTCACTCGCTACAATACCGCTAACGGGGGCCTGACACCAGTGTCACTCACTACAATACCGCTAACTGAGTCCTGACACCAGTGTCTCTCGCTACAATACCGCTAACTGAGCCCTGGTACCAGTATCACTCACTACAATACCGTTAACTGGGGCCTGACACCATCGTCACTCGCTACAATACCGCTAACTGAGCCCTGGTACCAGTATCACTCACTACAATATCGCTAACTGGGGCCTGACACTAGTGTCACTCACTACAATACCGCTAACTGAGACCTGGCACAAGTGAGTCTCGCTACAATACCGCTGAGGGCCTGACACTCGCTAGAATACTGCTAACTGAGGCCTGGCACAAGTGTATCTCGCTACAATACCGCTAACTGAGGCCTGACACCAGTGTCACTCACTACAATACCGCCAACTGAGGCCTGACACCAGTATCACTCCCTACAATACTGCTAACTGAGGGCCTGACACCAGTGTCACTCACTACAATACCGCTAACTGAGGGCCTGACACCAGTGTCACTCGCTACAATACCATTAAACTGAGGCCTGACACCAGTATCACTCGCTACAATACCGCTAACCGAGGCCTGACACCAGCTACAATACTGCTAACTGAGGCTTGACACCAGTGTCACTCCCTACAATACCACTAACTGGGGCCTGACACCAGTGTCACTCGCTACAATACCGCTAACTGGGACCTGACACCAGTGTCACTCGCTACAATACCGCTAACTGGGGCCTGACACCAGTTTCACTCACTACAATACTGCTAACTGGGACCTGACACCAGCTACAATAACGCTAACTGAGGCCTGACACCAGTGTCACTCACTACAATACCGCTAACTGAGCCCTGGTACCAGTGTTACTCGCTACAATACCGCTAACTGAGGCCTGACACCAGTGTCACTCGCTACAATACCGCTTAGTGGGACCTGACACCAGTGTCACTCGCAAACAATACCGCTAACGGGGGCCTGCAACCAGTTTCACTCACTACAATGCTGCTAACTTAGGCCTGACACCAGTGTCTCTCGCTACAATACCGCTAACTGAGGCCTGGCACCAGTGTCACTCGCTACAATACCGCTAACTGGGGCCTGGCACCAGTGTCACTCGCTACAATACCGCTAACTGGGGCCTGGCACCAGTGTCACTCGCAAACAATACCGCTAACGGGGGCCTGCAACCAGTTTCACTCACTACAATGCTGCTAACTGAGGCCTGACACCAGTGTCTCTCGCTACAATACCGCTAACTGAGGCCTGGCACCAGTGTCTCTCGCTACAATACCGCTAACTGAGGCCTGACACCAGTATCACTCGCTACAATACCGCTAACTGAGGCCTGACACCAGTGTCACTCACTACAATGCTGCTAACTGAGGCCTGACACCAGTGTGACTCACTACAATACTGCTAACTGAGTCCTGACACCAGTGTCTCTCGCTACAATACTGCTAACTGAGGCCTGGCAACAGTGTCTCTCGCTACAATACTGCTAACTGAGGGCTGGCAACAGTGTCTCTCGCTACAATACCGCTAACTGAGGCCTGACACCAGTGTCACTCACTACAATACTGCTAACTGAGGCCTGACACCAGTGTCACTCGCTACAATACCGCTAACTGAGGCCTGACACCAGTGTCACTCGCTACAATACTGCTAACTGAGGCCTGACACCAGTGTCACTCACTACAATACTGCTATCTGAGGCCTGACACCAGTGTCTCTCGCTACAATACTGCTAACTGAGGCCTGATACCAGTCTCTACAGATCAGGTCTTTTGCTAGTGTCATTTCCATAATCTGCAATCAGCTCTCAATTTACATCGACATTTACTTACACTACGACGACACACATAACAAATACTCTCTTCCGTCTGGTAAAGCAATATTGCCTCCTCTCAGCGATACCTTTTCTATTGTTCGTGTGTCGTCAATGCGCCAGTATTGGATAACTGTAGATAGCTAGTTCAGTCCGACCTATAGTGGTGAATGTTCATGTAAGTAAACTGACTACCTGGTGTGAAGGGCCGGTGCGTGACTGGCTCTGCACCGACTCCTGGCGCAATTTTCTTAACAGAGGACAAAAAACACTGATGTTTTTTTTCAAAACGTGGTTTAATTTGACACAATTATCTGAGTTTCCACCCAGAGAGCACTTGGAATATTCACTTGCCATAGAGTCAACAATCACGTGCTGGTCAGTGGAAATAACAGTGACGTCACCAATATATACGGAACACGTGAACATATGGAATTGATGGATATCACGGATATAAAAGGCACGATGTGCGAAGGTGATGTCACGGATATACAGGGCACGATGTGCGAAGGTGATGTCACGGATATACAGGGCACTTGCGTGTGACAGTGATATCACGGATAAACAAGGCACTTTTGTGAGACACAGTGATATCACGGATAAAAAAAAACACCGAGTGACACAGTGACATGTAAGTCACTTATGTGCTACACGGTGATATCAGGGATGATGTTTAAGTCACCGTGACACAGTGACAAATTAGGTGTGACAATGTGATATACAAGACGCACATATGATACAATATGATATCACGGATATGCAAGGCACGTGAGTGTGTGACAATGATATCACTGAAGTGAAAGACGTTAACCTCCCTGCAGAGATATACCCTATATATAAAGTCTGTGATCGTGTTTTATAGAGTCCATCACCAAGGCCGCCACATTTTATCACCCTCGACTTCCAAATGATGTTCAAGTTCTTGTCGGGGCGGAGTTGTTTCCCTTTCCCGTTTCACGGAAATCAAAGATGGCGAAGCAGAAACGCGTGGTGACGTAAACGTTTCATACTGACGTCTTGAGGAGAGGTCAATGTCACTCTTAGAATCCGGGGAAGACACAGGCGATGAGTCTGGGGATGAGCGGCTGTCTGGGAGAGACCTACTCTCAGGAGACGGTGTAAACCTTGGCCTATCCATTTTGGAATATGGGGAAACGTTTATATGAGGATTCTGGCTGTGGACCTGGTGAGTGACAGAGGCGGGGACGATGTTCCAGACGGGGGTGCAGGGACCCAGGCTATTGATGGGGAAAGCAGGCTGGCTGGCCTGGGGGATGACGTTGAGGGCTTGTAGGTGGGCGGGGTGGATCTGGGCCTCCGGGGGGATCTGAGACACACAGTTGGCAAGGTGGTTCAGAACACGTGACTTGACGTCATGGTTGACGCTGACAGCATCAAGGTATCTGGCGACTTCGCCTGCACATTCGTTAAATCCTGCTCGATATTTGCCCATGAGGAACGGGTCGGAAGACATGGCCGCTGAAAACCGAAACAAAAGACGTTAGTATATTAAAAATTGATCTCAACGGCATTTTACTGAACTTTAATTTTTAGTCTGTTATTTAAACATATAATCGAATGTGACATCATAACTATCTGATCACAAACGCACAAATTAAATTTGAGAAACACTATGATTGAGGTATGTTACAGGAACCGTTCTATCTTTGAATCGGTTATTGTTTCAAGACAGACATCAGCTTTAGAATCCATGTTGTTTGACCACGTCAAGGAGTCGTTCAACAAGAAGGTGTAGTTACCTGCTAGTTGTTGTCGCTGGAGGAGCTTCAGGTGTTTTACAGTCATCTCCAGGATGTCAGCCTTTTCAAGTTTGGAATATTGGGTGCTCTGAAATATATACAACTAATTAAAAGGATTGTTCAAAACATTCAAAACATTCAAAACAACACACTAATACACTATTACCGAGTATACAGAATACAAATGTCCAACCGAAGACGAAGTCCCCTCGCCCAAATTAACCATAACTTATCATTCACTATCAAATAACATTTTAACCTTTTAATGTGTGTGTTTGTGTGTGTGTGCTTGGGTGTGATGATCATTTCTAATTGATTCCGATTTCATGGACAATGAACGAAGGCCAAACAGGGCGAATTCCCTCGAAGGTTTTTTTCCAGAATTCGTTTACTTTCTTGTACGAAAGTATTTCGCAAAGTTTCACGACTTTTTCGCTCCCACGCTTTTGCCCAAGGCAATGTTGGCCGAAGTTCAGAATTGTTAGCTCTATACAAATCTTTCAGTTTGCGAGCCGGCGTAATGTATTTGCAATGCTTCGGTCGCTCACTTAGTCGCGAGCCACGCTTATCAACAGTGAGTCGAAAACACCGTGAGAAAGTGATAACCTGTGTAACCTTGCGACATTGTTGGTGGTGTATTTCAACAGTAAACCTGTCTAAGGGAGGGAACTCTCTGCTTTCGTATTCATCATGGAGCATGATAGGGGTTTTAGGCCTGAGTAAACATTCATACAGATTATAGACTGGGGTTGTGGGATCTACAATCAAAGGGAGATAACTAGTGTCTAACTGAAAGAATTACTGTTAGCTCACATGTAAATATCTCCAAGCTTGAAATAAAGAAGCGGAGACTCGCTGACCCGTGAGAAAGAACCCTCTCCAAACTAAATGACCCATCAACTATCTTCTCCATGCGACTTAATCGTCACCGCTGAACATACAGTATTGACATATCTGTCATTGAAATTTGTAATCAAATATTGTGTATGTACTTGAGATATGAACTACGAGCGTGAGAAAATTACAACCGAACATGATATAGAACAATTTCAATAAATTTGATCGCCGTCGTAAATATCCACCCCTGCAATACAAGCTTCCGTACTGCTTGACCACAAGATGCTTCAGCCACAAGGCCCAGGAAGCAGTGATATAGTATTGAAGCATGGGTGCAACAGGTGACCTGTAACGGGGCACCGTGGGATCAGCTGTTATTACTTACATCTTTCTTGAGAGCCTGTAGGACGAGGGATTTCAGCTGTCCAAGGCACTCATTTATCCGAGCTCGCCGTCTTTTTTCCATGAGTGGTTTGTTACTCTGCAATGAACATACACGTGCATACAGTATGACAATTTGTATGTACATCAGCAGAGTGACCATATATACATATGCTTGTGTCGTGCAAGACATACGAAACACAAACTTAAAGTTGATATGCCGTCTATGTCAAGTGCAAACGAGACGACTTTTGAATTATGATGCATTTACAAAAATAACCTTAATATAAAAAAAAACCAAAACATTTCATATAACAAATTAAATAAATGAAAATAAATTTTAATATTATAGACCTACCCTTCTAGAGGAGGCTCCTGGTCGCTTGTCATCGCTGCAGGTATCCGACATGGTTTCTGAAGAACACATCAACACGACTGTTGAAATGAGCAACTTTCCCAGTGAAATGTCTACCAATGCAACAGGTAGCCGAGTGAGCGTCGGCATGTAATGTATCGGAATTTAGATGTCGATTACCGTCCTTATACATCAAGCTCACTGTGAAGGCACGAAGTCTTGGTTTCCCACGCTGAGAAGACCCACTGGCTGTCAATCAAGCTTTGCGGGGGGTGGTGGTCGTGCGCGACACCAGTTTTGATTGGCTAGTGGGAGCGCGCGCAGTGGCATAAGCACTCCCAGGCGTCAATCAGTGGCGAAATTTACGAGATAAACTCACCGCACGCGCCGAAACTTACACCACCCTCAGATTTCGTCTGTGGGAATTTCCCGCCCTCTTTGCCCCGAAAGTGATTAGAAACCAACCATACCACGCAGTACATGATGGGCTAAATAATACAATTCAAAGCCCAACTTAGTGTTTGTTTTCGGTTTACAGAGAGAGTGCGCCCCGCGAGTGTGTTTCGCTTCAAATGCTTTCATCGCAAATCGTGGGAACGTACTGTACATCGATGAGCGACTCTGATACCGCAGCCTTCGTGATTGCTATACAATACAGATTATGAACTTTGCCGATTTTCACACATTGATAATCTTTTGTTTTCAATTTTTGTCGCTTGAAACTTCACAGTTTTCACTTTTGAACCCCTTATCGCAACACTCAATAGTGTTTGGTCAACCAACGCCGATTATTTATGAAACATTTTTGAACTGTAAGAAATACTGATAAAATCATCAGTGTATACAGTAAGTTTCGTCACAGGGTACCTAATTATACATACATATAGTTTCTAGCATTGCAACTCTTGTATGAATAAACTTTCAATAATACTGTCACAATATTTAATGACTTCCTTTCAAAATGTACTAAACTGACACAGCCAGTCTCCTGTACGAAGCGACCCAGACTAGAAGCGACCCTAAGGAAATAGCATCAACACGGTGTGTGCAATATATAGCATTCAAGTTTCATCAACAGTTATTCTGTTAACTGATTATCATTCTGGAATCAGTCCACGATGTAAAGCCAGTGTGTGGACAGACTGGGACGCCAGGTTTATGTACAATCCTTGCTTCCACGTGTTTTACCTGGCGCACATCTTACACACCTGTTGCTGACGAGAGAAAAATGAGCAGTCCATGCTTGTCAACGTCCATTTGTCACCCGGGACTACTGGTCAGCGAGACGTTTGCATGAACACACGTGCCGCCGTGACGGCCACACCGACGACACAGGCCGAGAACATCACTCAGACACCTCTTCTATACCTTTTGGAGGTTTCTCATAGTTATGTAATCAGCTCTCAGATACTGATGGGGTTTCATCTCTGATCGTTTGCTTTTCAGTAGTTTTAAATGACTGGCGACAATCTGATATCTCCAAAGGTGTTTGGAAACATTGTATTAACCTGCTGCGTACCATGTCTACCAATCATAGTATGTAAGTCGTCATCCTGGAATTCCCGGTCCTGGGTGGGATTCGAACCAGTACACCGCACTGAATATCGTTCATAACTCGAGGACAGCACTGATGCGACCACCGCTTCATGCATAAGGGAACTGTTTTGAAGCTGTGAAATGTGGACATTAATGTGCTGATCTATAACAAAACTGTTTGGTCTTTTTCAACAAAAGTAGGATTTGGGGGGTATTTTGTAAAAAGAGCATGTAAATTCGCATCTGAATAATTACATACGAACGAACCTCTTGCTTATATATTTGAAAACAAAATAGCTATGCATTAATTGTTGACCACGATAAACACGTGTTCCACGTGCATCAGTGATCGGGCGAGTCACTTTGGGGGATAACCATGTAAGTATGTTTTGATGTGTACAGACAAACATGATCGTTATTTATCGGTGCGAGATAAACCACCCTTGCTCGGTGATGGTTGGTGCTGTAAAACCCGCAGGTTGCAGGGACACTAAAACTGAGGGCATCGCTTGTGGAAAAACCTTTGCAGCTTCGCCCCCTGTTTTACAGACCCAAACCCCGCTGCGCATGTTATCCTTCATAACCTGACGACAGAAGATGGAAACTGAGAATGTTGCGAGTGTTATAGTCTGTCTCCCAGTCCCTGAACCACATTATTTACCCTACTGCCAAGCCTCTCTGCAGTGCGAAAGCCCTAACTAAAGCAAGTCTAGATTTCCTCAGGTTCTGAATCTCTGGTCTCCCTGGGGCTCCTTTTCAATTCAAATGGGCTTGTTTGTTTCTATCAAAATTATACATATTCAGAAACTAAGCATTAGTCTACATGTGTTAGTATTCTACGAAGTACGTGTTAATTTAAAAACGAACTACTTACAAAACAAGGTATAAGGAAAATATTGTGTTTTAAAAGGTAGATAATAATTCTAAACTCATATTACGAAACACACATCACGAATGAATATCTAAGAAACTTACATATTTTTATAATTACAAGTAGCAAATATTTTAACCGCTTCAATTGTTTAACAGTGAATCTGAATCTTGCAGAATTAAAGCAACTTGAGTTATGAGTGAGTGAGTGAGTGAGTTTACTTTTACGCCGCACTCAGCAATATTCCAGCTATATGGCGGCGGTCTGTAAATAATCGAGTCTGGACCAGACAATCAAGCGATCAACAGCATGAGCATCGATCTGGGCAATTAGGAACCGATGACATGTGTCAACCAAGTCAGCGAGCCTGACCACCCGATCCCGTTAGTCGCCTCTTACGACAAGCATACTCGCCTTTTGTGGCAAGCATGGGTTGCTGAAGACCTATTCTACACCGGATCTTCACGGGTCAACTTGAGTTATGAATACACAATGCCATTTAGAAAGTGGTCAAATGTAACTTGAGTTGTTCATATACTCTTGAGTTATAATGTGTTACTCAGATGTTAACTTCATGTTTTACAATAACTCATATTTCAGCAATGTGATAACTGAACAGATACACAAATCTTATTCTGCAAAACTCGAAAGGAAACAGAGAAAACGAACAAATTGCGGCAACAGATCGTAGTGTCCTATCCAGTTAACAAACCGTGGGAATTACGGACGACAGGCGACGAAAGTCTACGAGAGCACGTGCGGCGCGTGACCCATATAGGCGCCAAATGGTCCTCCATCGCCCTCGTGTCTCGCTCCCCTACGGATCTCCACGACACACAGGCGACAAGCTCTGCATTGGGATGGTCAAGGGTAACCGAATATCTGAGTGGTGGAGTTTGTTCTGTACCAGTACGATAGGTGTACATATTTACTCGGGGGGAAACTTCATTATCAGCAGGGATTAGTAATAGCGGTGAACACATTTGATAGGCAATCTAGTCGCACAGTGGTGGTCAAATATGTTCAGCAGTTAGTCACCGTGTAGATAAGTGATATAACGAGTGTTATTGTGACATGTACAACCGCAGGTGGTAAAACTACACATGTAGAAAACAATGGTACAGCGAGCACACGTCGCATGGTGTAGTCAATCTGCAATGTGTGTGGTCGATCTAATATGTCATATTTCACCCCCTCCAACACAGAGTGCTACTACAGTGGGGGATACCCACTGTCAACACAGACAGTATTACCAATATACAACTTATATATTAACCTGGAAACCCCTGTCAACACAGGCAGTGGTTCCTAAATACAGCTGATTTCTTAACCTGGATACCCCTGTCAAAACAGGCAGTGGTTCCTATATACAACTGATTTATTAATCTGGATACCCCTGTCAACACAGGCAGTGTTTCCTATATACAACTGATTTATTAACATGGAAACCCCTGTCAACACAAGCAGTGGTTCCTATATACAACGGATTTATTAATCTGGATACCCCTGTCAACAGAGGCAGTATTTCTTACATATACAGCTGATTTATTAATCTGGATACCCCTGTCAACACAGGCAGTGGATCCTACATACAGCTTATATATTAAGCTGGATACCCCTGTCAACACAGGCAGTGGTTCCTATATACAGGTAATTTATTAACCTGGATACCCCTGTCAACACAGGCAGTGGTTCCTATATACAAATCATGTATTAACCTGGATACCCCTGTCAACACAACCAGTGGTTCCTATATACAGCTGATATATTAACCTGGATACCCCTGTCAACACAGGCAGTGTTTCCTATATACAGCTGATTTATTAATCTGGATACCCCTGTCAACACAAGCAGTGGTTCCTATATACAGCTGATTTATTTACCTAGATACCCCTGTCAACACAGGCAGTGGTTCCTATATACACTGATTTATTAACCTAGATACCCCTGTCAACACAGGCAGTGGTTCCTATATACAACTGATTTATTTATCTGGATGCCCCTGTCAACACAGGCAGTGGTTCCTATATACAGGTAATTTATTAATCTGGATACCCCTGTCAACACAGGCAGTGTTTCCTATTTATGTATTTATGAAATGTGGGACAGGCTATAGGCGCACATATTCAAGAAAAATACAGGTTCATGATACAGTCTAAGTCGGAAATGGTATTTTGTAAAATGGGTACCCCTCCCAACGCATGTAGTTTTTCATTATCTGTAGTTACTTGTCTGCATGTGTATGACTGATTAACTTGTCTTCGTCTAATCTAAACATGAATGTGTGCAAAAATAGAAGTACATGTATCATGCAAATGGAGCGAAAACATGTTTATCTTCGAAGTCATTTCACAGAGTCCTTATCATGTTTCCTAAATAATTTACTCTAAAAGGTCTCTTGGGGAACCCATTTGCCGATTCGTATCTATACAAACATACAAAGTTGACATAAATCGATGGGTAGCCCATCTCTTCGGGCCCGTCGCCTGCACTGTGTAAGTTCGAACCTGGAGTATTGCACTATGTGCAGATGTTATAACATGATTTTCTTGGCACAAATGTTATTATTGTTTATCATAGTAGGTATATATCATATATCATATCATAAACGTATATCTAAGAAGGGATCGATCTCTGGTCGTTTTTTACAACCGTGTTCAGAGAGATGCCTTCCATTGTTTCCTTGTTGATTGAGAGAACAGTCGTTGGTCATCAGCAGAATATAATCATTATAAAATATAGTACTTGATGGTAGCGTGTGTCATGTCACTGTAGGTGATTCATTACTGAGATAGATACTGATGTTGTGTGT